GGAAAAAAGAGATTCATCCTCAAAAATATTAGTAATTTAAATCTGCTTAATAAACGAAATGAACTCAAGCCAGGTTGTAATCATACAAAGAAATTTCTCTTAAAATATATTAATTCTGAATAAATATATTATCCAAATTTCGCTTTCATATCCCATATGTTAGGTTATATATTGATTACCCTTCATTAATTATTTTAATGTTTTAACGTATATTGTCACTCAGAATGTCAAGCGGCGTTCCTATTTTAAACTTTAAACAGGCTTTTAATTTTTTTTTTTTTTTTTTATGGCCTACACAATATTTTTTTATGACCTACACAATATTTTCTGTATTTGCACCCCAATATAAAAGATAATTTATTTTAAATTTGAGATGTGAATCTGAGTGTAATTTAGCCTTACTCCCATGAGGCACAGTATATTATTTTTTTAAATAAGTTATATTTCGTGCCTGAAACCAACGAAACAAGTCACACCCCAAACGTAGGTGTATGTATATATATTAATACATACTTCTTAACTCTGACTAACCTTATTGAGCACTGTTTTGTTTGCACCTCAAAGTAAATTTAGTAAATATTTATTTGCTTACCTGCAATAACTCGCGCAAATACGGTTGCTAATATCTAGTTATTTGATTTACCCACCTCTATACCGATATATATATATATATATATATATATATATATATATATATATATATATATATATATATAGTAGAAGCTTTATTTTCTAAGTGGTTATAATGTTCACTTTTCAATCATTTGACCCGGTTTTGAATTTCACCAATTGATCCAAGCGTTGGAAAGTACATGAAAATCATTCCATATCTCAGTCATTGTCACATGACTTAGACAGTCGTAACTCCTTGAAGAAAACCAAAAATATGAGCTTTGGATAGAATATGCATAATTTTGATCACAATACAAAATACCTTATTCGTCCATTGAAAAATACAATAAAAAAGATGCTTTATATATATATATATATATATATATATATATATATTATATATATATATATATATGTACTTGCCATCCTTTTGTACTGCTCAGTGTCGTGGACTCCATACAGGTACCATATACACCAGCTGGATGTTTTCCATAAAAGCTGTCTGCGTGCCACCTGTGGAGTTAACCTTCAAGATAAGACATCTAACGTAGACCTGTTTCACAGGTGTAATATTTGAGGAATCAAGACTTTTTCTGATACAGTCTCAGTTACGTTGGACTGGTCATGTCTTGAGAATGTCTGATGACAGGATACCCAAGATCCTAATGTAGAGCCAGTTAGATAAGGGCTACAGGAATGTAGGACGCCCATAGCTAAGATACAAAGACAAGCTGAAAAGCAACTTATCCGCTGCCAATATACCACATAACACCCTTGAGCGCTTAGCCAACGTGTTTTAGTGGACTCAGCAGTTTTCAATCTGCTTGTCTGAATCATATTCAAGAATCGAGAGCATGATCTAAAAGGCCAGCCAATCTAAAGTTATCTCCTTCCACTATCCTTAATTTCATAACTGAATCAATTAAGCTGTCAGATCTTCATACGTCGAAACCGACATGAGATATATATATTATATATATATATATATATATATATATATATATATATATATATATATTTGGTTGGATAGATGTGAGTTTGTGACCTGGGTTTCACGCTTCAGCGATCGTCAGACAAACTGATTACTGTTTTAAAAATTTGGGTTTATGTAGATTGCGTGTATTGGTGTTATTGTGGAAGTGGTGGGGGAGATTTCGTCGTTTTGTCATTCATTCATCGGGTTTGCAGAACATATACATATTACGTCGGGACTCATACATATATATCACAGTTCATATCATATTTTACCCGCATTTTATTAAATTAATTGGAAATCACCATCTCGTTATTGTCTCGTGAATATATCCATGTCAAAAATTTTTTTTTTTTTTTTTCTTTCCGTTGAAAAATATTTGAAAATATTTTCTCGCATGTATGTATATATGTAAAATTATGGTAAAAATTATTATTAAATTATTTATATTTATTTTTTTATTTTTTTGAAAAAAAAATGGGGGTTTATTTGTTATGTTAAAAATATAATTTATATGGTGATGTTTAATTTAATAACGGGTTTATATCATGTGATAGTAAAAAAACAAACTAAAGTTATTGATTAATTTTTGTTTTTGTGCTAAACAAAAATCAGAGATAATCTCAAATATTAACAAAATTATCCGAAACCAAACGGATAAAACAGACAAACCACAACAATCAAATTTAATTTCAAGATACCATCAAAATAAATAAATTATAAACCATTAGTAATCACTTTTACCACCTTACAATATCTATTATTTTTTAATAAATTTTTAAAACAATATATCAGATATAATTTAACCATGAGAACAAAAACCCTTTAATATAATAATAATAATTTTGTAACATAGCAATCTTCAACTACCATAACATGCGAGAAAATATTTTCAAAATATTTTAATACGGAAAAAAAAAAAAAAAAATACCACCACTATAACTACATTCATGGTTTTATCATTCTCCACCAGACTAATCAACCAATCTGCAATTTCTTCCAGTTTACAATAACTATTAGCTAAAACCTAAATAGCATTGTCTCCAATCCTTTGAAACATTACTATCACATCATATCATATGTTATTAAATTAAACATCACCATATAAATTAAACAAAAGGATTACAATTTTTTACCTGTTACATATACACAGTCACCAAAACAAACAAATAACCAACTTTAAATATAACAAATAAAATTTTTTTTCAAAAAAATTTAAAATAAATATAAATAATAATAATTTTACCTATCATAATTTTTACACAAACCCCACCACATATATACATACATGCGAGAAAATATTTTTCAAATATTTTTCAACGGAAAGAAAAAAAAAAAAAAAAAATTTCATAATATGACATGGATACATTCACGAGACAATAACGAGACATTTCCGCCAACTTCCAATGTTTAAATTTCAACATTTCAACATACAAATGCGTATGTATAGACATAACTCACCCGTATACATACATGTGTCATAGCCGAAACTGTCTACATATGTTTATATATATGTATGAGTCCCGACGGACGACCAAGTATGTATATGTATATGTGTCTGCATACATCGATGTTTGCGTTAGTACGATGAATGACAAAACGACGAAATCTCCCCACCACTTCCACAATAACACCAATACACGCAATCTACATAAACCCAAATTTTTTAAAACAGTAATCAGTTTGTCTGACGATCGCTGAAGCGTGAAACCCAGGGTCACAAACTCACATCTATCCAACCAAATATGTTAGCTCTATCTCTGATATTGAGCGCTTTCTAATAAGTACTATGCATATAATATATAAATAATTATACATATATATATATTTATTTATATTTATATTCACTTTTCACATATATATATATATATATATATATAACAGGTCTAGCATCTAATTTTTGTGGAGAAGACTTCTTCGTTAGGTTAAAAATCATTCAGAATTTGAATATAAATATGGAGAGAGATGGACAGTTGTCTGTATTAACGTATCAGATATGTTACCCAAAATTAGACTTTATATAAGTCGATTAACCTATTCATTTGTATAATTACAAATTTGCATTCGCATTTGTCGCACGATATTTCTCTTGAAATCATATTAATAGGGAATAAAGCATATTCTTTTGTATGAAGTTTTGCTTTATTCAGCAAATTCATTTCGCGCCATGTAATTTTTCCAAAATATAAAACCGCCATGTCTTTTCCTGACGTGAGTGACAATGTCTTTCCATAGCTTTTTTCATTTGTCATCTGTATGTCGCTATGATTGGTCTAAGGAAATTGATGCGTTTTCCTTTGTCTTTTTTTAAATTTAAATTCATCATTTATTTGGTCTGGTTGGTAAGCAATTCTAGAAATCAGGGGAGAAAAGATAGTGCCATGCCTTTTCCATGATCACTATGTTAAGTAAACACAAACTCTTCCAAGCGGAACTTGAATTCTGTTTGTCAATTTCAGTTTCTTAGCTAATTATCTTTATTCAACTGTTCCAAAATAAATGCTGGGATAGTATGTCCAAAAGACATGTAGGAAATTTCTTATATTCATATTCAATGAAATACTTTAAAAAAAATAAGCAAATTACTTTGCGAAATAGGATTCTCCAAAAGTCCTTCGTGTACCACATATGTAAAAAGTGTTGCAGGGGTGAGGCTGGCTTGCAAAGTGATATGCGGGTCCATGACAGCTAAGTACAACATTGAAGAGATGGCCTTCTTTTGTAAAGAAATGGTAATTATCATATATATATATATATATATATATATATATATATATATATATATATATATGTGTGTGTGTGTATCTTGTGTGTGTATCTTGTGTGTGTGTGTGTGTGTATTCTCACACATGTGTGAATTTATTTTTATGTGTATGTGTGAATTTATTTTTATAGGTGTATCGTGGTGTTATCCTTAATCACATCCAAGTTCTTTTGATAGATATAAAAGAGATAGATAGATAGCTAGATAGATATGAACAGACTGATGTAAATAAATATGAACAGACTGATATATATATATATATATATATATATATATATATATATATATAGAGAGAGAGAGAGAGAGAGAGAGAGAGAATGAGAGAGAGAGTGGAAAGAAAGAAAGAAACAAACAAACAAACAAAGTCTAATATTTTTGGCCTGAAGCTAACTTGTTTATGCAAAGAAGTTAAAAATAAACGTAAATGTCACGGTCCATTGCTTCATCTGTTCATCTTCTGCTTTTATTTATCTTCTACTACGATATTTTCTCACTACAGAAGTGCAGCTACTTTCAGAAGATTTTCTGTTTACAAACAAATGACATCGTCAAGGTTACTGGAGCGATGTTTAAGGAAATTATCAATACTTAGTCTCAGTGCGTTTGGATATAAATGTTTATACATATAAATAGATCCATCTTTCTCCACAGCTCTCTCTCTCTCTCTCTCTCTCTCTCTCTCTCTCACACACACACACACACACACAAACACACACTCACTCTTTCTGTTTGTCTGTCTCCCTCTCTCTCTATCTATTTATCTATCTAACTTTTTCTCTTTTTCTCTCTCTGTTCGTTAGTGAGCGTCTGTATTTGATTGTCTTTGGACAAACAACTTAATAGAAAATAGAATCAGTTTTTATCTCGACCAATGAATTGTTTTTATTGTGAATATATACCTGAGGTCGACTCAAAATTTATATGCACATTTAATAATCTTTTACATAATGTCAGTCTTTGAAAGCAATTTTCTCTATTTCTAACAATTATATCTGGTGTCGATTTAAAAAAAAAGTTATTTTCTAAGTAAATTGTGAATCAGTTGCAGTGCTATCTATCAATCTATCTGTGACTTTTAATAATCTATCTATCTATCTATCTATCTAAGTCTATTCATATTTATCTATCTATTTATCTGTCTATCTATCGCAGTCTTTTTTCTATCAATAAGTTTATTCATATCTATCTACATATCTATCTATCTATCTATCTATCTATCTATCTATCTATCTATCTTGCTTGTCTATTCACATCTATCTATCTATCTATCTCATTTTTTTCATATACATCTATCTATCGAGCGATCTCAGTCTCTTAATATCTATCTATCTATCTATTTATCTATATTTTCCATTATTATTTAATTTTTTCGTATTTTTTCCAATGAAACATGATCTAGTACATTCCACGAAATCGTTCCTTGCAGATTGACCACAGATTCCCGATTGGATTTAATCAGGAGAATTTCCGGGCCAGTCAACAGTGCTTTGATTTACTCACTGGTAAGACTTTCCAGTGTGTTCGTGTAGCGTTACAATTTTCATACGTTTCATTGGAGACACGTCCATCGCAGACAATGGCCCTAGGACAACTAATCGACATTCGAGACAATAGTTATTGGGTGTGATAAAATATGATGCAAACACAGATGACGCAATATTTTTCGAGGCCAAACAAATTTTCATACACCTCAAAATAGATACACATTACTGTACACCACTGCAAATGACCTAATCTAAGGAAAAAACACCACTGCACACCATGCAAATGACCTAATCTAAGGAAAAAACAGAAATCGATTACATCCTGTCACTCCAGTGGGTCTAAAATTGACCATATGTTGAAAGAAAGAAACTAAAGCAGATGTTTCAATTAATTTACACACAGGTGTAGATATCTATCCATCTTTTTATCTATCTATCTCTTTCTATCTTTCTATCTCTCTCTCTCTCTCTCTCTATATATATATATATATATATATATATATATATATATATATAATTACGGTAAGTACTATTTTAATGGGTATTCGTTTTTGAGTTGCTATCCCGTTTTGTTTTAATTTCTTAAACAGTGAAATTCACAACAACCGGCCTAGTTTGAGAAAATTTTGCCCCCCGATAGGAATCGAACTTGTATCGTTTTTCTTAATCAATGAAATCGCTTTTTAAATGTTTTAAAACTGTCAGGGTAATCTACGAGGTCAAATTGGGAACGGCAGACCCAAAAAACGTGGTTTTTATGTGCAATAAAATGGATACAGGTTCGATTCCCAAAAATGCTTTAAAAATTATATATATATATATATATATATATATATATATATATATATATATATATATATCAGTAAAGTAAACACAGAGGTCAACCATCTCGTTTCATTATTGAAATGTTTTTAGTGTTGTCACTAGGTCTAACCTTAGTGTTTACTTTTATATTTACGTATGCACTATCCTTGATATTGAGCACTTTTACCCATAAATAGCATACATTAAACTAAATTTTATATATTATATATATATATATATATATATATATATATATATATATATATTTATATATATATATATATACTAGAATAAATTCTAAGGAGCCAGGCAAACCTACCTAACTTTCACCTCAAGGGATCTTCAGGGTAAAATGGGTAAAAAAGGAATTGACGGAACAGTATTTATTGAGAAAAAACATTAAAAACATTAAAAACCAATAAGCTTTAAAACCACGTGATAGAAAAAAACCAAAGCCTTTAGTCTAATAACCAGGATTTTCTATGCCTACACTTATTAAGAATCTCCGATCTTTGATTTAATAAATGTTTAGGTTCCTTATGGGTAGCGGTAGCTAATTTTTCCTCCATACATAACGAACAAAACCTGTCACCTGCCTTATATTTTGGGCATTTTTTTTTAATATTTCCCATTTCCAAAAGTGGTTACTTTTATCTTCTTGTTTTATATTCCAAATGTATGTGGACAGGCTGGTACTATGTTTATAGGTTTCGTTCTTATTTAAGCTATTTAGTTGGTTGTAGTAACGTTTTTTGAAGCTCCCCTGGGTGGACCCTATGTAAACTTTGAGGTTCTTATCAGTATTATTCGGTTTATTTCTATGTATTTCGACTTTGTAAATCACACACTTCTCCAAACGAGTAATACTATTATATATATATATATATATATATATATATATATATATATATATATATATATATATATATTTGAGGTTCATGTAATTTAAGGCGCAAATTGATTACGATGGATAAAAAATCCTACTAAACGCTTTTTTTTTTTTTTTTTTTTTTAGTTTTTTGTTTTTTCTTATTTCAACTCCAACAGTTTGGAGACACATATGAAAAAAACACACGGTGAGACAGAACCGATAATTTGGCAGATATCAATTATTTTTTAAAATTCCTCTAACGTTTGGATAAAACCTCGTTTGTAGCTAGCGATAAACAGACTTAGAAAGTGAGTCTGGTCTGTGTATGTGTGTATGTATGTATGTGTGTGTGCATTTGTGTTATTTGTATTGTTTTCAATTTCAAATTTAGATTTCATAGACTACAAACAAAAGATGTCATTCGTCCTCAATGTCTCTGTGTTTGCGTTTGATAAGAAACTACTTCCTTTTGATTTTACAAGAGATGAATATAAACCATCGATTCCGCAAACAAAGCTTGAAAGACAATGCCTTGCAAGTTATTTTTTTGTTTCTTTGTTCGAAACTAATGACCCACCTTTTTCATATTTATTATTAATAGATGAACATTTATTTGATCTCTATAAATATATATATATATATATATATATATATATATATATATATATATATATATATATATATATATTTGCACATAACATACAGTTCCATACAAGGACACACAGTCGTGGGCAATTAAATAAAGCTGAACGCAGTTATTATGACGCGTTAATTTCGATTAAAATCTTTTTTATGTATTGTAGAATGCAAATAAATTCAAATTTAAATTTAAAATAAAAATATACATCAACTAATTAATGTTTTATGCTTGGAAAGTTATAATTGATACCTTGTTATTATAACTGTCTATATTTCTGAGATGAGGTATTATGTACATTGTTTACATTATTCGGACTATTGTCCTCATCTTTGTCGCCATATTTATTACAACGTTTCGGTCGTTGTACGCTCCGGCCTTCTGCAGGTGGTTGGAATGTCGAACTGAACCCTTTATTTCGCTCACTGGGGTAGACTGTTCTAGTTGTACGTGCCATATGCTGACCAAACACAGAAATGAATACAATATGGCAACCAGTAATAAGGAGTGCCAGAGAAAAGCGATAACGACAACAAAAATTGCAATATGAGCTCTGATAAAAACATGTATGATAACAGCAAAAATTGCAATATGAACACTGGTAAAAAATGATGGCATAAGACATTAGGTTTATAATACCCAGAAATTCGCACACTGATGTCCTCAAGGTCACATGACACAGCGGGTAAAGTGGTTAGTTAGATCCAGTGAAAGGGCCCAAAGAATGCGAGTTCGGTACCAGGTTAAGGCAGTGGAGAACTTTCAGAGGGAAATTAACAAGAGATAACTGATAAATGACATCCATTAAACATGGCACGTGAAACCTTGTTTTATGAAATTAATATTGGATTAAACAAATATAATAAATAAAGTTTATTTCACTTTTTTTTTAATTTACGCCTATTTTACGACGGACATTAATGAATTAACAAAACCCATTATATTTATAGACACAGGGAAGCTACGCCGGTGAGCAGGTAATTGAAGGCGAGATGCCAGGTCAAGACCAGTAACATTGCAGATTATTCTTTGGATTTTATCAAGAATCTTTAAATATATAGCAAGAGCACCAGACCAGATATAGCAGCAATATTCAAAGCAAGGACGAATGGTAGACTTATAAATATATAAAATATGTTCTAGTGAGAAATATTGTCTAACACGACACAGGCAATCAAATTTCCTAGCAGCAAACAATTGACTCAATATAATCTTTCTCTTTCATGCCAGCGGAAATGTGTCACTCTCCTGAAATATCTCAGCTAATCTGAAAATTAACAAATTTTATTGTCTTGTTTGTTTTTTTTTTCTCTTCATGACGGCGAGCGGGGCTTTTACTGGTGTTAATACCAAAATCCGAAGGCGTATCTGAATAGCAAAATAAAAAATATACATAAAAAAACAAAAAAAAACATACAAAAGAATTTCGTTAGAAACAAAGAAAAAAGCGCTGATCTGTGATTTAATATCAATGCTCTTATATGTCAGTGAATGTTGGCCAATCTCCTCACAGATGAAGATAAAACTGGAGGATACATAAACGTAGTTATACAGTAGGATGCTGAGGATAGCTTGGACGGAGCCCGGAAGCAACGGAGAAATCTTAACAAAAATAAAAACAAAAATAAATTTCAGAATAAGACAGCTGGAACGTTCTGAGCACAGTGAGGAAGGAGATTTGGGAGAATTTGATACTCGGAGGACATTTCGAAGGCAAAGTGGTCAAGGAAAGGCAGGGAGCGATTTACGTGACGAGGTTGTGGGAATGAATGGAAGAACTATGGTAGGAGGCTTAGCAAAGGGACAAACATTGCTATGAGCTACAAGAGGTTGGTGGTTATGGAGAACTATGACACGGTACAAAGAAGAAGAAGAAGAAGAAGAAGAAGAAGAAGAAGAAGAAGAAATCTTTACGACATGACGAGTCAGGACTTGTAAACGGTCAGCCATTGACAGACACAAAAACTAATTAATTTGAATAATATTCAATTCAATATATGAAAACACCGTTCACGCTCCTTATTGATAGCGTTTTAAGAAATTGGCTCACAGTGATTAAGATAAAAGACGTGAATGTCGAAGTTAACCCATAAACGATGAAAGCTATTTAATGTTAATTAAAATATTAAACATTTTAAATAACTTCTCTTTAATTTTCAAAGCAATTAGCAAAATGTTTAATGTTTTAACACCTACGTCGTCGTATTTTCCTTCCTCCTACCTAATATCATTTTTAGATTTCAAATCCCAGCATCCCTCATCTGTGCGCACTTGCAGTCGCATCAACTTAAACTTATTCCGATGAAGTTCTAAAGGATAAAATGAGTCACATGAAAAAGTTTTTCCATTTTATCATACATTCATTCCCTAATTTTAATCTTGGTAAATATATCTGTTAAAATGACATGTCAGTGTTATTTTCATTTTTGCGCAATTTAGATGACATTTTATCCATCACACCCTCTATGTACGTATATATTTCTTTATTGTTTTGTTTTTTTGACTTTTGTTTTTTGGGGTTTTTTGGGGGTTTTTTGGGGTTTTTTGGGGGGGTTGTTTATTTTTTAT